AAACATGAGGGGCAAAAACACACTTTAATAACCTTAACTAGGGAGCAAGCCTACATAATCTTTGTTCTCTCACCAACTGTTCAATTTTTCATCTCCAGAAAGAGTCTCTGCATTTCAGGTTTCAGATTAAATGCTGACACAGGTGGCACCATTACAAGACAAATCAAGAATATGTATAATCCAGATGAAGAGGCTAAAATCCTCTGGACTCCCTTTCAGTCTGACTAAACCTATAAAATCTACATTTAATAGCTGATTTTCCAGAGATCGAAAGATTTCTTTTTACACATACCCTTGATGGAATTAATGAGAGAAGGAGAGAAAAGCATATGCGTAAATGCCTGGGGGCAACTATAACAAAGAAAGAATTACAGTTTCTTAATGTAATTCCAGCACTCATAACATACTGCTTGCACTAAATATTCCAAAAATAACTTGCACTACATAATCAAGTCTCTGTAACTAATATGCTTATAGACTTTCTGAGGGTGATATTTACTAACTAAATAATGGTCAAAATAATAGCTAACATTTAGACATCTGCTTTTAAAAGAAGCATCCCTTCCACCTGCTTCTACAGGCCACAAAGATACACTCTAGTTAACATATTACTGACAGGATGATGAGAAAGCTCCTGTCAGATGCTGGCCAGCCGGGTGTTTGAGACAAAATGCACAGCCCCAGCTGACTAGTTAGAGAAAGTCTGGTGAGGTACAATTATAGAGGCATATGACAAGGCTTCATGCCTGGCTGATTTGAGAACCAATGACATGGCTTTAAACAGCAATCTTCCCTACCTATGGTCACAAAACAGCAATAAGTCAACTGATACACCCTTGTAATATCATGATATATGCCTTTGCTTTGAATACACAAGACTCTGATATGATGTTCTGCTAGTCTACCAAGATTCACTTGGGGCTTAAACATCTATGGCCTGCCTACAGCATGGATGAAATCAATGTACTTGCTCAGGATTACCAGAAACTCTTCCCTGTGTACTTGACAATGTATAAACCAACAGAATAATGCATAAATCTGCAGAATAAAAACAAAACTGATTATGTCTCAATTCATTAAACTCAAACATGCAAAAATATAATAACAGATACTAACACAATACCACACTTTATAGGAAGAAAACCCATTAGAATGTTGAAAATATAACAATATTCTTGATATCTGTGCTTATATATCTTATAATTTTTTTTAATTTTAAAGTTTATCTTTTAAAGGTTA